GGGGGTGGGGCGGAGCTTTGGCGAGGCAGGCTAGGCCTGTCATGCCCTGTAAGGACAGAATCGCGTGCCCCCAAATTCTTAAGTTGAAGCCCTAGCCACAATCCGACTGTGTTTGGAGATAGGGCCTTTCAGGAGGTCACTGAGGTGAAATAAGGTCATAAGGGTGGGGACCTGACCTGATAGGACTCATGTCCTTGTAAGAAGAAGAGAGACGCCAGGAATGTGTGTGCACACCGCGGAGGCCATGTGAGGGCACGGTGAGGGACAGCCGTCTGCAAGCCAGGAAGAGAGGCCTCACCACAAATCAACCCCACTGACACCTTGATCTTGGACTTTAGCTTCCAAACTGCGAGGAAATTAATTTCCATGGCCGAAATTCCCCAGTCTGTGGTGTTCTGTTGTGGAAGCCCCAAGAGCTTACTGGCGGGAGCCCTAGAAGCCCCCAGGAGAGACCCAATCCTGCCTTGTGCACACTGCACACTTAGTGTGTGTATATGTGTGTGCACGTTCAAGAGGCCCTGAGATCAGGGACTTTCCAGAACCCGGCACTGCGCTAGGCTCTTTATATGTTGACTACGTTGCAAAAGGACACGAGTAACAATATTATCCGTCCCCTCTGGAGCATTAATGTGGACAGGGCATTGGGCAGCGGGTCTCAGGCTGTGGTCCCAGAAGCAGTCTGACCACCTGGGATCCTGTTAGAAATGCTCATCCCCAGGCCCTACCCAGACCTATCGAATAAGAAATTCTGCTGATGGGACTTAGGTCTGGGTCTTAACAAGCCCCCCAGGGATTCGACGGTGGCTCAAGTTTGAGACCCACTGGTCTAGAGGTTATGTCTCTAATCCCTCAACAATCCTTTGAGGCAGAATTCTCGTCCCATTTCATTAACATGAAGACCGAGACAGGAAAGTCACATGACTTGTCCAAGGTCACACAGCAGATAAGTGGGGGTGGGGAGCGGTTGCAGTGTCTAGCTCTTCCCATTAAGCCACCTGCCTCCCAGGGCCTCCCGAGCCCGCAACCCTCTGGGGACCAAAGAACGGCAGGAAGGTTAATTAGTGACTGGAGGAGAGAGAGCTACTCCTTAGGAAACTGAACTTCCCTTCCAATCACAGCTGGACTCATTTCTGAGGGACAGGGTGTCCAATTCCCCAGGTGGTGACCATTCGGGAGACCCTGGGACCTGTGGCTGGGCCAGGTGTGGTCCCCCGGCCCGCTGCCCACCCTGACCGTGGAGGAGGCCAGGTGGGCACCCGGGCAGGGCCATCAACCCGGGGCAGGAAGTGGGAGGTGGGACTTGCCACGGACCTGCTCTTGGAATGGATGTCAGCGAGAGAGGGAGGGGGTCCCGTGTGAGGAGCCCATCCCTGCATCTACACCTGGGCTGCCAGGGTCCCCAGAAGCTTGCTTGGCCTGGGTTCTCTTGGCACACTGGGGTGCGCTTAGGGGACGTTTCTACAAAAGACAGGAATTCAAAGAAACACCCCTCCCGGAGAATGAGGTATTTGTGAGGACAGCGATTGGGTCTGAGACAGGGGTTCCTCACCTGGATTTCCAGTCACTGGGGGTGGGGTGGGAGGGGACTCAC